AAGGCTAAGGTTACGGGCTCCGTGGGCCCTGAAGAGAAAACAGCTGACACACAGATTCTTCTCTGCCCCCGGCACCAAAACCCAAGGTGCAACGGCCAAGGGCTAAAACAATGTGTTAATGGATCTCCAAGCTGATGTTCCTTAGAGCCAGACTGAGAAAAGTCCTAAGCAAAATAACCTTAGACTTTAAAATTCAAAGTAGATGTATGTTAATATTAAAGATTGGTTTTCTATGTCTTTCTCCTGAACACCAACGAGGATTACTCTCAAAAGTTTACACTCATGAACTAAGTAAGTAGCATCTTTCCCGTTGCAAGTAGCAAAACACACATTCAGCAGGCTTGCAACAAACACGCTTTTCCTGAAAGATGCTAAGCAATGTGTTGATCATTTTCCATGGCTTCTCTGAAGACGGCAACCAAACATAATCGAAAAAACTCTACCCCACCCACAGTCTATTCCACCAGAAAACCAATTAAACCTGGTTAAAAGGCTTTCTAGAAAAAGGTGTAAAACTGAATCTGGCAGGCTTTTTCCGAAGTTTTTCCAGTATCTCAATTCTGCCAGAGCCAGATGATCCAGCCTATACTTTTCAGTAGAAAAAAAAAAATTGTTTCCCCTTTTCTAATATAAATAAATACAAAGTCAAAGACAATGTTTCCTATGCAAGAATCTCTTTTGGAACTATATTAAAAACAAAAAATGTAATGAGGTTGCACTTCAGACAATGGAATACTTTACCATGACTTTGGAAACTAAAGCAACGCGGTCAACTTTGCTTTAAAAGGTAAAACGGCACATCCAACTTTGAGGACCAGTAAACTGACAACACAAGGAGAAGTACTGAGGAGACATGAATTACTTGCCCAGTTGGGACAACAAATCCACGGTGACAGTGTCCTAAAGTAAGAGCAAATGATCCCCAGTCCTGACATGTCTCCCCATCCACCCAGTGTGAGTGCTGTCCATGCGACAAATTTTGTCCCCTCTTCTTCCGCCTACTTCCTGGTTCGTAGCTGACAGAGGTGAGAACACAGCCGAGCTGAGGACAGAGAGAGTACCAGAATAGACGGTACCAATTCCCCTTTCCTTTCCCAGAAGGACAGAAGATCTAGGCTCCCCTCCAAAGAAATGCCGTATCCAAACATAATAACTGTCTGGTGCCTCAACCCACTATCTGGTCCGGACCACAGAATTCCAGGATGTGCTTGACAGGATGGGGCAGATTTTGTCCCTGCTTCATGCAAAGGTCAAATCATGTCCGCAGTCACATGAACACAGACCTTGTTTCTTCATTTTGAAATGGGGACAATAAAACCAGACCTCACGGGACTGAGGAATCTTACATAAGAAGTACATGTGAAAGCACCTAGCTAGCTCAGTGCCTGGCATGTGATATGTGCTGAAAACACAGGAAAAAAATTCACTTGAATGCTGTCTAAGTTTAACATTTAAAAGCTGGTAAGTAAATGTGTTCTATAATTTTCTACTTGCAAAATGTTATCTATAATCAGCTTTTGACCATCATGTAGCCATTATTCTCTAAAACTTTTCCTCTAACTTACAAGCTCTGGGAAGCGTTTCTTTCCCCGTTCAGCCCCATCCTCCCCACCTGTATTACCTCCGTGTAAAGAGGCACTTCGGCAAAATGTTGGAGCCAAATCTTGTGTGTGAATAGTAATAATAATTCCTACCTGTGTGATTGTTGAATGAATTAAATGAGTAAATAAATGTAAAACACTTAGAATATCATAGGTGTGTTATTTTATTAAATATCTAATAGTTTAGGTGTATCTGAAACCTGGATTTGAGATGTATTATCTGAATTCACACAATGAAATATTTAAGTTAAATGAGTATAACTTAGAAACAGATTTTAATACCAAAAAATCCCCAAATATAATGCCTTGTCATATGATGTATTTAGAGGATTATTCAGATATTTGGGATCTTTGTTCCTGCTCCAAAACATGGAAACAAAGAGGTCAGGACTGGCCAGAAGGACCAATTAAAAATGTTACCACTCATCTTAATTCACTGCATGTGTTCAAACCTACACTAAAAAACATAAAACCCATTCTGATTCATTTCAAATTAAAATGAACAGTGCCTACTATTAGTTACATTTCAGGTAACTGATTTCCTTTTGATATAACACTATCATGCTAGCCTTTGCTTGAATACCAGTATTATATGTAAACTCTATTCTGTAATGTTTGTGAGCAATTTAAAGATCTCTTACACCTAAGGAAGTTTTTTCTAATAGCAATTGAAATTGAATGACTGATTTCTATAAAAGATCTTTCCAAAAATTAATAGCGTTCAAGGTAATAGGTTTAAATAAGATAGCAGTGAGTTTTTGTTTTTGTTTTTTTTTTTAAGAGTGGATTGTGGTAGCAGGAGTTCAAATTTCGCAGTAGCTTGTTTTAGGATGGAGAGGGATTTAGGAATCTCCCAGGTCACCTCCACATTTTATGAGGAAACCAAATCCTCCCAATGCTCCGATACTCATAGGGTCAGAACACAGGCCACGGCTCCTGACTCCCAGGCACATAAATGTTCCTTCAAGTTTTGTCATATCAAAGTTAACCAATTGGTATCAACGCCAAACAATTTTTTGTCCCAAATAATTCAAAAGAATAATTGTTAATACATACACACACATACACACACACACATAGAACTGCATTCATTCAAGTAAGTAGGCACCACAGCCTCCAATTACTAACTTATGCTATTTCCCAAACCCAACTGGGGATTTCATGCCATCAGGATTTTCTCAAATCACTTATGTTGATTACGACTTTCAAATTGCCCCAATGCTGGAGCTCACACGCGCATGCACACGAGTGTGAACGCCATCTCTGGCTCTCCCTCTCCCCCGATCTCTCTAAAAAAACTGTGAGCAGAAATCGGCAGCATTTTTTAGAATCCTACTATCTTTCAGCCAGGTGTACTGACTCACCCTGGCCATCCTCAGCATTATAGACAACAATTCTGAGGGAAGAGTTCGTTTCTAACAGTATCTTTTAGTATCCATCTTATTCTATTTTATTATTATTTCATAAGCCAGCTTAATCTCTCAAGAAACCAACTGATTGAAAAATGTCACTTTTTAATCACGTTCTATTAGTGCCATAAAAATATTAGTCAGGTACATACATGTACAGTTTGTTCATTTTCTGAAATTTTTACTTTTCCCAAAGCAAACCTTTACCAAAATCAGTAAACGGAGAAGGGAAAATAAACCATGAAGTTGTTCCATCAGTGAATAGTAGCAAATAAGAAAGGATAGTAACAGTACATTCAATATTCAATTCTGAGCCACTTAATCCAGTTAAAATGTATAAAATGCTATCTTAGATTTTTTAAATTAGCAATATATAATTCATAAAAGTTGCCTTTGCATTAAATTCCCCTTAAATTTATGCTCAAAGAAATAGCAAAACCAACTTTTAAAAAATTGACTTCATGGGCTTGTCAATGTTTTAAACAGTCTTTGACCACTAACACGCAGTAATTTCTCTCTTCAATTTGAGTGAAATCCCTTTCTAAAAGCAGAAGCCAACAGCTTTTTCATACTTATGCAAAAAAATTACTTTAAAAAAATCTAAAACTAAATGTAACCAAATACTTTAAGTTACATCTTAACCACTACACCTGAATCCTTACAGGGGGGGATATTTACTTCCTTGGAATGACACAGTGTTTTCTTGGCAAACTTCCCCCACCACTAGGTAAACTATTAAGACAAATTCTGCATTTAATCTGTGGTAGCCCTTGCAGAAAGATCTCTAAAATAACACTCCAGCTATAGCATTATGTATGTGTACTCATACGTGTACATAGATGTATTTTTAATTTTTGTTTTTTAACCTAGAGTTTGTACTCTTACCAGCTATGCGCTGCTGGGGAAGTTATTATAGCTTTCTGATTCTCAATTTTCTCATCTGTAAAATGGGATAATCACTGAACTTACCTTGTGGGCTTGTGAGGACTGATTCAATGTTAGCTTACCACCTCACAGAAATTTCCTAAACACATATAAATGATCATACTCTCAAAATACACAAATTCAGTGGGGCATTTGATGTTCAGTTAACTATGAAATTCCCTGTGTCCCATAGCTCTCGACTGGACTGGCTGCTCATTAATTCAGAAACATCAAACAAATGTGACTCTTGCAGAACAAGGATACACTGGTGGCGAGAAAGACAAGTGATCTTGGCCTGGATCTATTATTAGGCATGGTTAATTATCTACACCCCTAGTGTTAACACTGGAAAAGAAACAAATGGGTGAAAAGGCATCAGTAGAAGAGTCACTCTGAGATCTACAGTTTCACAGTATTCAAAAATAAATGGGCATGAAGGAGAGACTTAGATAATTTCTCTAGTCGCCCTTGCTGACACTCGGCAGGTCAGAAATTGCAAAGAGGTTTCAAAGGAAATTACCGAGTTCAGACTGCCTGGTTCAGAGTGGTCCCAGGTTTAAAATACAAGCAGTGAGAGAACTGCAATTTAAGAGCTGGTTTTCAGTAACTCACCGCCTTACAGCAGAGAAAAAGGAATTTTTTGGTTGTAGAGTTACTGCATTTGGGTAGAAAATGCTCATCAGTTTCCACAGACGAAAGAGTTTGTATCCCTGTCGTATTTACTCCCATATAAATAAGCAGGGAAAAACCAACCCTGATTCTCTAGAATCAGAGGTATTCCAGGTATTCCAGTTCATAATTACGACATCACTAAACTACCTGGTATGAATTATACCAAGTCACACAATTATCCATTGGGAAGATTACAATGAGAAATTTAGCAAAGAAACAGCTGAGCGTTTTGTTCCAAATCACACTCCTCCCCTGCCCGAACACTGGCTGGTAACTAACTCATATTCTAAGAAGAGCTCTGATATGAACACGGACAAGTCAAACGCTCTTAGTCAGACACCACACCACGCTCTTTCCTTATTCATCTTAATCTCTTGGTGGAACACAATCTTACCGGAAAAGGAAAAATGTTGTCAGCCCTGTTCAAGCTATCCTCCATCCAGGACTTAGGAGCAAAGGCAGAGCTGGGGCGAGCGTACTTCTGGAGCTGAATATGATTGCTTGCAAAATTTTTCTTCAAAGGCGAGATGGAATTCAGGGGCGTTATTCCTCCATTCAGCCCCCTGCGGTGGTCGCGGCCTTGGGAACCTCCCCAGCCACCATATCCACCACCTCCTGGGCTCCAGGAGGAGGAGGGTGTAGGAGAGGGGCTCTGGTAGCTGCTCCACGGAGAGGGGGGTTTGTTAAGATTATTCGCCAGATGCGGCAGCTGGTTAAAAGCAGCATTTCTGTGTGTGAAAGGTGGCGGGTGGGGACTGGCAGGAGACCTCCTTTGCTGCTGATGCTGGCTGTGATGATGCTGGAAGTGAGGATGATGAGGGTGGTGCTGTGAGAGAGGCCCGATTTGAGGGGAGAAGCTGCCCCCGAAGCCAGGGCTGACGTGATGGGGGAAATTTTGAAACAACAGAGCACCGTTATTAGCTGAAGCAGCTGGGACCCCTCCCTGGTGAAAGAAACTGGCATCTTCGTTGATGATTGTAGAGGAGGAAGGCGCGATGGCGGCTGACCAGTTACTGAAACCGGTAAGAGACGATGCACTGGATGTCAGAGGTTGGGTGGAAGTACCTAGCCCTGCGGCTTCTTGATAATCAAACCCTGTCAACACTGGTGACTCGATTCTGATTTTCTCCTTCCCGCTACCGCTTTCTGAAGAGCTGTCCCCTTGGTTTTCTTCCGATTTCGCCTTCTCGGTTTCCGGCAGTATTCCAGCTTCCTGACCTGGACTGGGGGAGAGCTGCTGCTTGTCCAAAGGGTCTTGCTGTTCTGGCTGCTGACTTTTTGCCTTTTCTGACCCCAAGATCTCATCCTGAATGTTGTGGGCGGCAGGAGCAGGAAAGAGCCAAGCTGAGCCGGCGCTGCTGCCATTGGCAGCTGTGTTATTATTTATAAAAGCAGCAGGGCTGGGGGTGGCATTTTGGTGATGGTGTGGAGGCTGTAGGTGCGGATGGAACCGGACCGGAAAAGCAGATTTATTCCCAGTGTTGCTTTGCACTAGCACTCCAAACCCGTAATCCCCCATTTATTATTTTTAGGAGCAGAATTTTACAACAACAACAAAAAAAACTCCCGACAACCTGATGTCTCACGCCTTTGTAGCCTCTACCCCAAATGTGTTTGTTTGAAATGTCTTATTTATAGCTAGCTCAAAGATCCGCAGCTTGTCACCCTAAATAGTTCTGATTTGGAATTCTGGTCTCGGAAAGGGGGGAAAAAAAAACCACTGAAAAATCAAAATCTCTTAAAACATTGACATGAATCCAACTGGGCTTATTTCTAGGAGGGAATAAAAACGAAGAGGGTAAAAATCAAGTCTTTGGTTAGTAAAATAGGCGCTTTCTTTTTCCAAAGGAAAATGCACATGAATGACAAAAACACAGCTTCTCAAGCATCTATACACGTAGAAGAATAAGCATTGCGCGGAGTAAAAATATATAGATATAATTTAACAATCACATAGGGTCTTCCTCAGCAGTTTAGATTCACTCACATAAAAATTAGAATAGGGCTAGAAGGGAGAATACGTTTCTTTTCTTGGCAGCTTGGTTAAAAAAATCAGGAATAATTTAAGGACATTATATATTATATATTTATATATATAGATAGATTATATTAGATTATCTGGGGCGGGAGGTGAGTTCCTGGTGGCCGGCGAGGAAAGCGGCATCGACTAATGGGAAGATGATCGCAGGGAGGCTTCTGCGGCTCCTGGCCCTGTTTCTGCTCGTTCACGGTGTGCAGTTTGGGCCTCGGGGGCTGTTCCTGAGGCTCTGGGTGCAGATCTCGCTGCGGTCGCTGCTCCTGGGCTCCCCCCCGGCTTCCTCTCCCCCATGAAATGGGTTGGAAACACCCGTTTCTCCCTCCGAGGGGGGTCGCGATGGAGAAGGATTAGCAAGACTGGATGAGGACGAGCCGGCGGCCCGGGCGTGCGGGCACCGAGGGGGCGACCTGGAAGGTCCGGCGGTTTCGGCCTCTTCCCCTCTCTGCGGCTCCGGGGTTTTTTCCCCTCATGGGACCCAGGGGCGGTTTGTTCGGTTCTCTCAGTTCGATTCTCCGCAGCGGGGGGAAGAAAGAGGGAAGAAAAGGAAAACCCCACTAGTGTAGTTATCCTAAAAGAGAAGGGCCTCCCCGCTTTGCTCTCTCTTTTTCCCCCAAGACTTTTTTTTAACTATAATTTAGAAGGCTTTTGTTTCTCCTCACGGTTGCTGGGCCGTCGTCGTCGTCGTCGTCGTCGCCGCCGCCTCCGTCGCTTTACCCCGGTCCCGCAGTCCCCGCGGTTGTTGTTGCGGACTCCGCCTGGCTCGTCTTCTCTCCTTTTTCCTCCTCTTTCTCCTCTGCCGTCTCCGCTGCCACCGCCGCCGCCGCCGGCACCACCGCCTCCCGGTGCCCGGTCCCGCAGCCGCGGCTGAGTCCTTCTCCTAAGGACCGAGCCGAGTGAAATGACAACCAGCTGGAAAGACCGAGAGACACTTCCGGTTCGAAGAGGGAGGGGTGGGGCACCGCAGACACACCGCCCACCTGCCTGGGGACCAATCAACTGTTAACATTTAGACTAGGCCACGCCCCTCCACTCGTGTCCCCGCCCAGGAAGGTCGAAAAGGTACCTCGAGAGACGCCCCTTCCGCTGTGCCTCTCCCAGTGAAGCCGACTGCCGGGAGCCAGCACTCCGAAGCAGAGAGAGCGCAGCAGGTCGCCATCTTTAGTGTGGGCAAAGGCCTCCTTCGCTGTTCGTCTTCCCTAACCACACTTTGCTAGGGTAGCATGCAGAGACGCGCGGAAGACAACAGATTCCTTGAGCACCACAAAAAAGAGTCAAGGTGTTGGGGATCGGTGTTGGGGATCGGAGTGGCGACCCTCGAAAACAGGGATGAACGGAAGGACTGCCCACAGTAAAGGTGGTTCTCCAGGCGTTACTTGCTTTGGCCCGAGCTCCGCCCCAGAAGGAGTCTTCCCAGCAGCTAGGTGGTGCTTAGAACTGCGTACTACGTCCCTCTCCTGGATTTAGACCTCACGCGTGACTCTCCCTTCACCTCCCATTCCCCCACCCCCACCCCATCCCCACCCCCACCCTGGCTCAGCTCTGGTGTGCCTTCAGGCGCAGAGATACAGCTGCCCGAGGCGCCGGTGGCTGATCCCTCATCCCCACCCCCTTCTAGTGCACTTTACGTGCTGTAGCAGAGGGACATTTTCAAAACGAAAATCTTGCAGTTTTGGAAATCCTTACCTGCTCAGATCTCTTCTATGGCTACCCATTGCCTTGCCTAAGTTCGGTATTCAAGGCTTCTGCACTTCTGTGGGCCATCATAAATCATAACGTCTCACCTCCCTCCAAACACACCACACCCTTCCTGTCTTCTGCACCTGGCAAACCTCTATTTAGTTTTAGAAATCAGTTCAAAATCTACCCACTCTGTCTTCTGAATTCTCTCTAAGCATCCATGCCCCTGTATACATCTCATGGTTTTTTGGTTTTTTATCACAATACATTGTAATGGTTGCTTACGTTGGCCAGACCTGTGCTCAACTGTGAGCTCTTTGCAGAGCGGACCTTGTCTTTCCTGAATGACAGTCCCCTTTGTGAGTCTGAATGATGGCATTCCTTCTGCCTTTTGTTTTGGAGCTCACATCTCTCAAACTTTCTTATTTAGCTTGGCTTCTTTTATTCCCACTTGCTGCTGCTCAAGGTCTTGTTCGTCTTGGTACATTCCCACACTACGACTGCCATGAGGGTGTGGGTTAGTACCTTGCTTCAGCACCAGCCTTAAAGATGCAGAGTAAGTGAGTGTTTTCCTTTAGCAGGAAATAAAAAAAATGGAAAAAAAAGAAGTCAGAGTAGTGCCAGAAGTGGCTATGACGAGAGTAGGGATAAAAGAGAGATCATAGACCTTCAAGGAGACTCTTATGAACAAAGATGGCTTCTACTTCATTTCTGTAGCCTTTGCTCAACGGCTGCTACTTCTGCCGCCTGTTTTTCAATCCCCCAGCACTTCCAGGTACAGCACCTGTTAGAGCCTTAGTAATTTTATTCCCTTGCATCGTGTCACAGTGCATCTCATCTCTGCGACTCGACTGCGTGTGTTCATACCCACAGCGCAGGGACAGGGGCTTACTCTGCTCTTTATTGCCCAGACTTAGCTTGGTTAGGTTAGGTGTCTTTTCCTCCAGGTTGGTTACTGACTTGCCCCCTTCTCTAGCATCTGATAGATTTCCCTTTGTAAATACTGCTGGTGGTCAGTGGGTTCGTTTCCTGAGGGCAAAGTTTGTGTCTGATTTATCTTTCTGTCTCTGGTAGCCAGCAGAAGGGCTGGGACAGAGCAGACTCAGGACATGTTTATTGAATGAATGAATGAATGAATGCTCAGTGCCCAGTAGATGGCTGAGAGTCTTTGGAGCTACCAATTCTCAGTGGCTAAAATGGCAGCCACGGCTTGGAGCAAAGAGGACTGACTAACTGACTATCTCTGGAATCTACGCACCTGAATTTGAATCCCAGCTCTGCCACTTCCTGTTGTACAGCCTCAGGCATCCCCTCTACAAGCCCCTGGCTCCTCAGAGATAAAGTGCGAATGATATTTCCTCCCGCACGAGGTTGGTAAATTACATGAGATACATGCAAAGTGCTGGGCTCATAGGAGGTTTTCAGAAATGTCGGTTCCTTATTAATCTATTAAATGCAGAGAACTGCTCACAGATGTCTTTTGCTGAGAAGCAGCTGCATGCATGAGTGAATCCAGGAACCTGTGTGGGTTTGCAGGGGGAGGAGGCACTCCGGAGCCACAGTCAGGGTGCTGCTAGGGCAGCCTGATCCTGTAAAACTGTAACAGTCGTGGGCAGCAGGGTTGGGCTGGGCTTATTAAGCTGGAGTGATCAGTGTAGATACCACGCTCCTGGTTAGGAACTAGGAGCGTGGGAGAAGGAAGGGGGAAGCAATTCTCTTGGCTCCGTTGCCTACTCAGAAACCCAGGATACCCAGCTCAGGGCTGCCCTCCTTCAAAACATTCTGGCCTCAGAAACGGTCCCGGGTAACCATGACAACAATTCAGCAGCTCCATTTAGGATCTCCAAAGGGATCTAGTGTTGCAGAGGACTGCTGGCTTGAACACTGCTGGCAGGAGAGGGCCCCTCCCGAGAAGCAATCTCACTGGGAAGCTTTTGGGTTGAAGAGAAAGCAACCTCTGCCCAACCATGAAGGTGCTACTAGATTTTTAAAAAGGAAACAAAGCAAAACAAAACCTCCCTGCTTGTCCAGCGAGGGCTGACACACCTTTGGAGGACCTGCAGGTCGGGAAATGCATGTACCCTGCTGGCTATTGCCCAGCCCCACTCTGGGGTTTGAGGTCAACCACACCCCAAACCCGGAGCCTCCCAGAAAGCACAGCCCTAATATCTCCTCCACCAGTCACTCTCAAAGCTTGGCAGACAATATAAATCTCACCCCATAATCACACAGAGTGAACTCAGCCCTACTCCAGCTCTGAGGTCCTCCACCACTGCCCTCCATGCCGACGTTGCCAGCCTTGTCGCACCACACACACCCAAGTTCTCCAAGAGGCCCGTCTGATGACTTTGGCCATCAGGGCTGCCCCTGTGGGCCGCCCAGGCTGTGTGCTGTGTGTCACCGCCCAGCACCAAAGACTCAGTGGTGTGCACACCGACCCCTGGTGCCACACAACGCGTCAGCCCTGCTTTGGTTCATTTCCATGAGACACAGAGCACACTGTGGAATTATGACACCCGTCCCAACAAAGCCACCAGATACTACCATAAATTATACATGAGCACATGCTCATCACAGGCAGAAATATTGGAAACAATGAATCCTTTTAGAGGTGGTGGCCCAGGAGCTCTCCGTGATGGAGCTGAAGGGCACGGTGTCCTTGGTGCTGTTTTGGGCAGTGAGCACAGTGAGAACACAAGTCCAGGCAGGTACACGGTCCAGTCCCCTAAGACATTAATACCCAGCAGCCTTTGCCTGGCAGTGTTAATAGGCCTTCTAAGGTAGTGGTGGAATATATATCTTAGTGAAACAAACAAAAAAAGTAATGATGCCCAAAGCAAGTTCTGTGGAGGCAGGGGAAGAGAGAAGAGTGGAGTTACTGTGGGAACAGTACCTGCGAGCTCACTACCAGAGGGCAGAAGGAACACCGAGTTCCTGAAGCAGGTTTCATTACACCCCACCTCCGCTCTTCGCCCTGGTTCAATATTGGAAAGTGTGTATGTTTACTTAGAAAGCACCATTGTTTTTTCAGCAGTTAATTGCTAGGTTACATTTTCTCTTTTTGTTTGTTGTTTTGTAACCCTCTGCATTTTAAACAGTGTTTTCCTCCTGCTTTCCCATTTAATATGTTACCATTAACACAGCATCCATAGTGGACGTGCCATTTGGATGGGGAGTGGCAAAGCCAGTTCCTCCAATGCATTGTTACTGAATGAATGGCTTGGAAAGGTCCCGGACACAGATGCGCTTTGCCTGGGATTGCTATATGCTGGCAAAGACTTAGGTGAGGTGGAACAGGGGGCTGGCCTTCCAGGGACGTACCTCATGTGGCATGACTTGGATTCTTTTGAGGCTCCAGCCACCTTGGTGGATGGGCTGCTGCCCCAGACCACCCCTTGTGGCTTTGACCGGACACACATCACTTCTCTGCATCAAGGCCCTAGCAGTGCCACCCCACAGCTGCACACACATGCACACCCTGTGGCTGGGCTGAAGGACTGCAATGCTGCAAACCAAATAGCTGTTTGGAGCTCGCAGGAAGATGCAGGGCCCAGGGCCCAGAGAGCTGGGAGTCCGAGACCAAAACTGTGGCCCCAACATAGCCATAGACTCAGTCCCTGGTCCAGTTTGTCCAGTTGGATGATTTCCTTTTGGCCGGAAATTTTACGACCAAAAGAGTTTCATTTCAGAAACCTTTAGCAATGAAGGTTCAAAGAAAGTCATCTACGAAAAAGACAAAACACTAAACCCGGTCCTTTCTTTTTATGTCCACGTTGTCTGTTCCCTATTCTCGGAGTACATATATTACTAATGAGCAGTTGTAAGGGTTGATTTGTAAACATCCAGCCTCAAACTCTAGTGCACGTTAGTTCCCGTGGGAGTCCATCAGCTGCACGTTCCCAGGCACGGCCCCCACGAATTCTGATTACGTTTTCTCATGGTATTTTCTAGAAAAGTTAGAAGGTACAAGAGACTTTCTCATCATAATGTGAAAGCACAGAAAAACCGAAAGAAGAATGGCTGGAACAAAGGAGTTCCCCTCTCGCCTAAGAGAGAGATCGGGAGGGTCAGCAGAGGGCCGCTGACGAGGTTGCAGGAAGTCATCGGAAACCAGCTTCCTTCCAGCTCACTGTCTCTCCCACCTCAAAATGTAACTTCTGCCTTTTGATCTAAGATAGCTGATCAGGCTCCAGCCCTCATGTCTGCATTCCAGGTGGAAGGCAGGAGGAAAAGA